ATTTGTAACTAAAATACGACTGTGTATTTGTATATCTATATATACATTTATTGTAGTATATTTTTTTTCCTCACCTTAGAGTTATGGCGCCACTATATATTTTTTTATTATATTATTGTTTTTTTTCAATCATTCATTTTCATTTATTTTTTTGTTTTTAAAAACTTGAGTTTTTATTTTAGAATTTTTTTTTAAAATGTGAATGACCGCTATGAGGCTTGCACTTTTGGATTTTCCAAACTATATTTTACTATAAACTCACTGCCACTAGCTTGGTGAAATTAATGTGGCAACTTTTATTTCCTATAACTATACTTATCCAGATATGCACAAGCCTTCTTCCAACACCTTCCAAAGTTCGCTTTCTTGGACTTGCCGAGCAGCCGGCCAGTTGGACCAACGCCACAGCAGCCGTCTTTATCCTCGCGTGGATGCCACTGTAGGACTCTGAGTCTTTTATTATGTCCCATTTATTGCTGTTAAAATTTTCAATCGAAATAAGCGAAAGATGGAGTTAATTTTTTTTTAATTTGAATATAAAACAATAATAACATTAATGTCAATATCGAGTAGTAACTATTATGGTTAGCCTTTATGAGGCCTTAGAGTTATTCTCAGTTAGGTCAGTACAGTTATAACTTCTTATCTAACTAATCTCTTCTCTAACTTTCGTTAGAGATTTTTGTAACACAACGTATTTTAGGTCTTCTCCGTATGGGTAATTAATTCGAACTGTCGGTTCACGGTTTAAAAATCGGTTCTGGGTTTTAAACACACCATCTCATGGTTAAAAATCGGATACATAGCCACTAGGCTAACTAACTAACCTAACACTAGATACCACACGACTTTTAGTCCAATAATATAACTGTTGAATAGTTTAACTCCCTCTTTAGCATATGTTTAGACCGAAGCTAATATAAAAGTGTTTTCACCTTAAACTTAAAATAACTTTAATCATATAGGTACACCTATAAACGTCAACAGATTTTTTTTTACTAAGATTCTAAATTTACATTTACTACCCGTTCGCAAGGCAAGGGCAAAAGAAAACTGGCAAGAAACTCTCCGCCAATCTTGTTAATCGCCAAATTTTGAGTCATATAAATTGTTAAACTGGAGCAAATAAATCCCAAGGATTAGGATCATTTAAATAATCGTCAAATTTATAAAAAAGCTTTATTAATTAATTTATGTTTAACGAGAGTTTTGGATTTATTCAGTGATAATTCTTTAATTCCGCTTGGGAGTTTGTTGTAAAAACGAAAACCATTTCCATATAAGGAGTGGTTTATCTTCTGGATGGTTGGTCGTACGTGATTAGATTAATATTAATATTCAAGTACAATAATCAAATATAATATAATTGTCAATAGACAATTTTGTATTAGCAGATTTGAAGAATAATAGACACAAATGAATAATAATTAACTTAATTTCATCTAAAGACAAGGTCTGTGCGTTCACGATTTTAAGCCATAAAGTTTCCTGACACTTGCCAAACTCTTGTAATTAGCAGAACTCCAGCCGATTTCTGGTTACAAAGCCAATATGTGACTCATTAGTGGCTAGTGCAGTCTGTACGCAGATTAACTCTCGAAACAAGGAGAGTTCGAATTGAAGACTAATTTATTTATAAACTAAATTTACTTACACTGAGGGTACATGTACTTTTTTGAATCAATAACAAAAATATCGTGTAGGCAACCAATAGTTCTCAAATCAAGGGCGTGAAACGGACAAGAAGCACTGCCAACAAATTGAGCGTCATTCTTTTAAAACGATAAGGTTTTTAGATAATGTTTGTTAGCACTTGCAACCATAACTTCATGCGCCTCATTAATTTTTATTAGTTAATTATTGTAACTTATTATTAGTGAAATAAACAAATAAATGCGATTAAAACCATAAATACAACCCCTTGAGTTTGACAACTTATGTCTAACATCTGCTAATATATATTTGTACGAACAACCTTAACATGTATCATTTCATATAAATACTAGCTGACCTGGCAAACGTCGTTTTGCCATGTCAGCTAGTATTTACTATTTATTTTGCCATCATTTATAATAAAAAATAGGGGTTGATCATAGAGGGGTAAAAATTAGGGGTTGTATGTATTTTTTAATGCTGTATCATACAAAAAAAATTATCTGAAAATTAAAAAAAAATATTTAGGGGTGGACTACCCTTCACATTAAGGGTGATGAAAAATAGATGCACACAAAATTTCATGAGAATCGGTCTAGCCGTTTCGGAGGAGTTTAACTACAAACACCGCGACACGAGAATTTTATATATTAGATTATATGGAAAGGATTACTTCAGGATTACCTAGACATTATAGAATTTTCTTTACTATCGATTCCAATAGAGAAACGATGGTCATGCTTTCATATGATTAGATTTTTAAGTTCCGAAACCCAATATAAACAAAATGTATTTACGATCAAATAAAAAACTTAAATAATATTATAATATCGGCATAATACGTCATAAATTTACCAATTGTTTTATAGTAGTCTAGTCTACTAGTCTAAATACAACTTTAAAATAATAAACAAACACATGTTTGTTCACAATTAAAATATTATTATAAAAGGATTCAAATTATCAGCCCCCTCTTCCCTAGAATCGAGACTTACTTACGCTAGCCTCTAAATCAATGAACTAGTTTAATAATGACAAACATTAAACATGTATTAGCAGTTATCAATGTAACAAAAAAGATTTAAGAATAAGATAATTAATAATAATCGAATAAAAAGACGAAGTGTCACTTAACGTAATAATGTAACAATATTTTATTCAAGTAAAGAAATTTGTCCAAAACTTTTTTACAACTCAAAAACATTTGACAGTCTGGGCAGTTCAGCACAACTTTGACTTACTAATTACTTACGATCCAAAAAGTTGTGTCGAGATATTCATTTCAATTCTCCAGATCAATTCTCATTAGCATTACAAGTATGAAAAAGTAAGGCTTCTCCTTTGAGGCGCAAATAATCAATCCATCAAAATATCAATTTTCTCGGCCCTCGCTTATGAAAGGTGAAAATGAGGCGGTTTGTAAAATACCACTATATATTTTATTCATCACGCGTCTACTTATGTACCTTTTTGTGATATTTGGGGAAGTTACGTGTCTTGAAACAAAATGTATAGAGATTGAAAGTATTACTTCTTAGTTTTACTTTGATGAGTAAAGTACAAAGTAAAAACAACAAACAAAGATAAACTGATTGAAATGCTATGTTAGCGACAATACAGCAGTATATTATTAAATATGTTTAATTTTTAAAGTACGTTTTTGGTAACATATTTTTAAATCTAATTTTATTATTTGACTGACTAAGTACGAAATAAATTGTAATTTACACATTAACTAACTATTAGCTTAATGTCTTATACGAAATTATTTGACCGAAAAATAAACAAATTGGACAAAAGCCAAAATATCGTTGCTATTAATGCCTTTCGGATACAGTTATTTTATTAACTTGATAAATAAATTTTTATTCTCTAGACGGCAAACTTAGAAAATATTTTCTTTTGAAAAGTATTTTTCTTCTATCAAATTGATGACAACATTAATGAATCTTTTTAAAACAAAAATTTTTAAATCACGATCCGTGCGTTAGCCTTGGCATCTACTGAATAGACTGTACCTTCTTTGAATAGAGAAAATAAATTTATTCAACATTTCGATGAGTAAAATCTTTATGATTAGATATAATTGTATAAAGCAGGGCATGCATATATTCTCAGAATAGGCATATAAGTTTGGTCAGGCTATCAAAAAAAAAAAATGGTTGCAGTCTGAGGCCAAAAGTTATTTAGGATTGTAGTGCCACAGGATTGTTATTAGTCAATTAATTTAAGCTCACAGTGCGCAACAAACGAAACAAAATCCAATTTTTGGGTTTCATATTAATTGCAATACTTAAATCTCAATCAGGTCTTTGTGGCTAGTGAATAACATAATCGGCACTCTTTCTCCATATAAAACAATTTTTATCGACAAGATTGTAAAACCTCTAACGTTTTCGATGAATTATTCATTGCGCGTACTTGTAGTAAAATTATGTTTTCATTTCAATTTAGGAGGAAATTTTATGCTTCTTCAATCAAAAACTTTATCATCATTTTTATTTATAAGACATAATACATCTTTACGGTATTTGAATATTTTTATAGTTTCATCAATAATATTATTTCTCTTATTGTCCCTTTCATATAATTATATTTTAATTGCATTTGTTTGTTCGATTTTTTTGTCTAAGTAATTGTATATATTTTGTAGGTTTTCACTTCTTGCGGTGGTTCACAAGGAGAGCCTATTCTAAAAAAAAATCTTAAAGCGGTTTCCTGGAAGAGATCGCTCGAAACCGATAAGGCTGCCAGTTGCCCTACTTTTTATTTAAATATTTTAATGATTCTGTATTTATGTATGACTGCAACGAATTTTAAATAAATAAATATCCGTACTGTTTGAATGATGAATTGGAGAAATACTATAAAATACCTTTATAATTATTGTGCTGTTTCAAATTTACTCTTCATTTGTTAACATTTTAATTGAGCTTATGACCACCAATATACTGATTTACTTAGGTTTAACAAGGAACAGAAAATCACGTACGAATTTTGTCGAAACATAATATTTTATGCTTAGAATCACATTAGTAGCTTTTTTTAGAAAAACACGCTACATTATATATATAAGTAATGTTTCTTTTAGTTGCAAAGAAAGTAATTCGTAAGACACATTTGCAAAATTTATCTTAAGGAGAATATGAGTAACCATTAATCATACTTTTGCTCATATTTTTATTTGTCACTCATTTTCCTTCCTCTTATCCTTAGAAGACTTTGAAAAATTACTCCTTCGTTACGCAGGGAAACCTATAGCAACCTATTATAGAAAAAACTTGTTTGTTTCAGATGTGAACGATAGGATAACAATAATGACGAAACACCAAAGATAAACAAAAAAAATGGATATAAACCATGTATTGGACAAGGAAGCAATCAACCGTTTCGAACAGTACACATTGGCAAAACCCTCATTGAACGGGAGCGTCCCTTTGGACAAGTGCCAAGATGTGGACTCAGTGGCATCTAATAGCAGAAAGAAAACACAAACTTCCCGGCAGAAAGTAGTTTGTTGCTTTTGTTTTAAAACAACCAAGTATAGACGAAAACAATTTATTGTCGGATCCCTAACGAATAGTGTTGTATTTTCTGTATTATTGGCGTACACATTTCTGGGTTCGTTCATATTTTTAGCGATAGAGGGCGGGGTTGAAATACCATCGCGTCCAAGGCTTTTACCAGACAAACAAAAGATCACACATAGAGTACACAGCAACGATAGTAAGAAAGAAGTTGATGAATACAAGGATTATGGAAATCTAAGCATGTCGGCTAACTTTTGGGATGCGAGAAGCAGGGCGGTGGAAAATATTTGGGAAATAACTGTATCTTTAAATATTCTGTATAGAGAAAATTGGACGCGTTTGGCCGCAGCGGAGATTTTAAAATTTCAAAACGAGTTGATGCAAAGGGTCACAGCTGAAATGGCGTCGCAGTATGGAGTGAGCTATAAAGAAATGGCTTTGGGCGAATTTGGCGAGAGTGAATTCAACAATCATTATGAAGAGCATGACTGGAACTTGGCACTGGCTTTTTTCTACTCATTGACTGTTTTAACAACTATTGGTAAGTTGACACAATTAAAATTAAATTCATAATAACGTATTATTACTACGATATAACAATTTGTGCTATACAAATATCGTTCATTGTTTATCTGCTAGTTTCGAGTTGGTATATAACAGTACTATAAGCTAATTCTAGGTTCGATTTTCGAAAAACATTGTTTTTAATAAGGTTCAAGGGCCCACAGATTCCTATATAAATAAAGTATATATATATAGATAAGAATATAAGTATAATGCATCATCATATAATATTTATTATAAAGTTATTTTAATTCACGTAATTTTCTCTTTACAGGATACGGTAATATTGCGCCGAGAACTATGCTGGGGAAAGGAATCACTATTTTATACGCGCTAATTGGAATTCCTCTGACACTTGTATACCTTTCAAGTGTCGGCTCTTTACTCTCTAAAATGGCTCGAAGTGTTTTCAGTCGAGCATTATGCTGTTGTCTTTGCTCAAACTGTGGCTATTGTTGCTACGATGAACGACGAATGGCAGAGAAAGAACGACGAATGAAACTCAAACGACAACAAGAGGAAATGATTAACAGTCAGAACTCAAGTAAAACCCCAACAGAAGAATGCTACGTTTTGAAAACTGATAGTCAAAAAGACTCATCACTCTCTGATAGACCAACTACTAGTACAGCTAAAGATGATGTTATTAGTTGGCCTGATACAGATTCTAAATTATCTATGCACGGTTTAAGTATATTAGCCCCTGTTTTATTGTGTTTAACGGCAATTTTCGTTTACATCTCCTTAGGAGCGATTGTTCTATATAAATTGGATGATATGAGTTTAATAGATGGCTTTTATTTCTGTTTTATGGCACTAAGCACAATAGGATTCGGTAATATAATACCAGGAACTAGCTACACCACCATTAATGGTGTCAGATATTACACAATTAATTCAACTGTATTGTGGTTTTGCTCTGTGTACACACTTACTGGACTCGCGTTGACAGCTATGTGTTTCGGAGTTATTCACGACGAGATTATTTATAGGATAAAACATCAACAAAAAGAGTGGTCGCAAAAAGGTAACACAGTCAACGACGAGGTTAACGTTACGGATCCATTTTATATGAGCTCCTGACATATGTTTAATAAAGGTAGGTCCGAGAATTTGTACAGTATTATGGAGGACAGTTCTATAGTAGAGCGTAATAGGATAGAGATTGACAATAGAGAAGTAGTACTTAGCGTAGATGATGTATCAATATCTATAGAATCGAGTAATGAGTTTCCTCCACCACCTCCAGAAGAAGAAATCGTTGCTATAGTAACAAAAAAGGAACCTAAAGGGTTCACTAATATGGTAGCATATAACGTATTACCAGAAATGCTTGAACACGTTAATCCACCTTGAACTCTTTAATATAAATCTATAGTTTTTTACTGGCTGTGACTCTTCATGTTTATTTGAATCTCTAATTTATTAAGAAATATATCAATAAAATCTCTCGAATTTACTTTTCCAGAATATTTGAAATATGTAAATTGTAAATATTGTAATTAATAAAATATGATGTGTAACATCTTTTAAATATTATGAATGTCAAATGTTAATATCAAATTAATTGTAAGTAATTTTTACGTGACTAGAATCTTTGTAAAAACATAAAATTTAATATAAAACTAAATAAATTGTGAGTAAGATACGTTGTTTTATTGCTTTGCTGTCTCCGGGGCTTAGTGGTAAACGAACTAGTCGTATAATCCCTTCTGTGATATTATATTTTTTGTTTCATATCCACCATACAGAAGGCTGACTAGCCGTGAATGTCGTGTAATATTTTCCCCACATTAACAGTACACTAATTTTATTTAGAAATAGTAAAACATAATCCACTTTTTATATATTTTGTTAGTACAAAATCTAGTTTCATTACCTACTACATCATTACATCTAGTTACAATTGTATTATTTCAGAATCAACATGCTACAAAATGAATTCGCATCAACCGATTGCCAATTTCATACACTGATATTGAAATTTTGTCTCAATTTCAAATCTAACTAATACTCAGAACCAAATGTTCATTACTATGCTGTTGGTATTCACTGACTAGAGTAAGCTTACTGCGTATTGCGTAACCAGAATCGAAAGTTCAATGATTGGCTCAATAATATAGTTATACAAGCTGACATTAGTACAAAGAACCATGTTGATGCTGTCTACTAAATACGATTTCCAAAATATTGTCATGGTGCTAGAATTTCGAGTGACGTTGTACGATTTCTTAATGCTGCCTTGCGATTCTGTAACTCACTTTTCGAACTCACACAGCGGTTTTCGCATCGGCGGTCGCTCTCAAATCAGTCGTGAAGCAGTCATTTTATGATTTGGCATTCTGATAAGGTGGGAGCTTGTAGTTTATTGTTTATCAGAAAATCGCTGTGTGAGTTCGAAAAGTGAGTTACAGAATCGCAAGGCTGATATCGGAAATGTAATCGATATTGAATTTACGTAGTAAGCTAGCAGGGTCGTAATAATAAAACTGTTTTATTTGTTTTCATATAAGCCTACTGGCGATACCGATTCTTATCACGACTTAAATTTTGGGTTTTTGTACCGCAATTCTAAGGTTGCGCGACTGTCTATTAAAATTACTACATCGAAATCGCATACGCATCGAGGTTCTTAATAAATTGCTAATAAGTTTGTATAAATTCATTTTATTAATACACGAGACGCCTATTCAAAAACAAAATACATCTGTTTTACAATCGCACAAATGTTTTAGAACGCAGATAAATTTCAAACAACAGCCATTTTGTAGATTTATTAAAGACATCAACTTAACCAGGAACGTAATAGTTGTGGTGACGAAATTCAACAATTTATATGAATATAAATAAGAGCATGAATATGAAAATACCTTATTTCAGGGAGCGAACAAATACATCCCCCAAAAAGTAATCTCGGTTAGAAAAAGGGTTGAAGGTTTCTGAGGAAGACAAATAGTGGCTTATATTGAATATGTTACGCTTTCTTTGATTTTGTGCGCAATCATCCATTTTATTGGTTTCCTATGCTAATTTCTTTACATAAAATCAAGTGAAGCGCATTACTTTTATTTAAGTATAGTACAGAGATTGTCTTAATGGTTGATTCGCAACAATTTAAAGGTTACAAATATATCTTTTGTTTAAAAAATTGTTTCTAAAGAATCTTCTGATGAGAAATAAGATTCGTCTATGGACACCAAAAATATCTTATGACATGAGCTAAGTTCGGTGGCGGTTGTTGTTAATATGTTCAGATATATGAATGAAACACTGTTTGAATCTGGGTGTCAACTGGCTTATACATGAGCTTATAACTAACATAAAATTAGGAGTAGTGGGGTTGCGACGCTAACAAAAACTAACTTAGCCTATCTAAGGGTTCATTAATCTAAGTGACACTTCAATACAAGTGCAGTCGACCTTCTTGGATATTATCGGAATCAAGAATGTTGTATCACAATTTATAAGTGTGGAAAAAACTAAAAAACTAATTATAAACTAAAATATATATATAATTTAATATAAAGTTATCATGTAATTTTCTCTTTATCAGGATACGCGTAATATTGCTGCCGAGAAACGGTGATTGAAGCAAATAATGATGGATATCAAAAAGTTGAGAAATTTTACTTATAAGACACTGTGACTAAGTTACCCCTGAGTTGGTATAAAATTAAAGATGGAGAAAGTCTCCATCATCTACAGCTGTGAACTTTTTGACATTCATAATAACTTGGTCTTAAGCACCGCGAACAAATTCGCTTTGGGGACAGAGCACGGGAAACGTGGGATAAATTTTTTCTTATAGTTGAGAATTTATTGTGGCTACAAACTCAATCCGATTAAACATTTCTTTAATAAATTGTAAAGGTTAAAATGAATAAAGCATTTAGATAAAAGTTATCATGTAATTAGGTTATTTACAGAACGTTAGTATTGCGCAAAAAGTATTTTTTTGTCCTGGCAATGGAAAGTACCTCTTAACTTATAATGAAGTTCTAAGTAATATCGATACAGATATAACTCTTCTAAGAAGAAAAGAGAATTAAAAAGAGAATTAAATTTTCGTACTTGTTAAATCTGATAATGTCAATGATCGAATATTCGAAATCACCGTATGGATAATTTAAATTAAAGAAAAATAGGTCAACTGCGTTGATTGATGTTATTACGAGTATTACCAGAGTACCTTATCTGACAATAAATGTAATTAATGATGTAGTTTTAAATCTTGCCGGGGTACCTACATTAATTTAATACAATTAAGAATTCTGAACTACACGCAGTGAACTTTGTCTTACGTTTTATATTTTTAAGTACTTCTCTCTCTTCAGAAACATATAATATATGAGTATTTTAACGACTACGTTAAGAGAAACGTTTTTTTTGTTTTTTTTATATATTGTGCAATAAAACACGTGTGTCTCAAAGTAAATAATAAAACATCTACACATTGCACATACATTTGAAGGCATGGATGAGTTATTACTCGGAGGTATTATTAAGGAATTATACTTAATTAAATATTAAATATAAGAAAATACCTTTGTACAAGGATGAATTTAAGAAAACAGCACAGATAACAAGTACAACATATTAAGTAGTAATTAATAAATATTATGTTCACGGTAATGGCTGTTTTAGTTTGTTTACAATTAGACTGCGCTTTACTTAAATACTCCTTAGGAAAGTCACCTAAAACTTAGAAGGTGACTAAATATATTTTTTAAATTATAACTATGATTTATAAATAAGTGAGCATTTTCATATATGCGTATGATACATAAAAATAAAAAAATAGCCTTTATTCGCGCACACATGTACAAGGTGTGTGAGTATTAAGATTACATATATTTATTTTATTAGAGTCTGGCTAATAAAAATGCCCCGGCATCAAAAAAATTAGTATGGTATCCATAAAAGTTTGATATATTTTGTGGATTAAACTTATTGATCTATTTATTTTATTATTTTACATGTAGTACTAGGGTCTATGAAATTAAATCGAAGTTTTTATCATTATACTTAAAAGACTAGCTGCATGGAAATTTATTTATTATAAAAAACCTTTATTCGGAACTATCGGAATCCAAAAATCAATAAAACAAATAGGCCCGGCTAACCTGTTACTACAAAAATATTTGCCATGAGTATAAAAATAAATCATACTAACTTCTAAGATTCAATGACATTCTGTGTCATTCAAATTCGGAAAGTTTTCAAATAGTTCAAACTTTTTATGCCAGACTCTCTAGCTCCCGGCAAACGTTTGTTTTGCATGCATATCTTCTGGAAACATTTTTTAGTTCAACTAATGATGGACCGCTTTTGTCTCCGGCCGTCCACGGGGCTTCTTCTGCAGGTCGAAATTTATAAAACGAAAGCGTTGGAACCAAAAACGCACTGTGACAGTGCCGCCGCAATATACCTCATTAATCCTTCGAGCCAATTCTGCAGCCCTGGTGTCACAGTGGAACTCGCTATTTTATGTTTTCCATTTAATAAGTAGAGTTAAAACAGGAAAAGTAAATAAATCATGGTTTTCGAAAAACAAATGCACGAGTATATAGCTGTATAATTGAATTTGGAATTCCTAACCAAAGATATCTCCTCTTTGGTTAGGTTAGGTTATTTCAGGTCAAACTGGCCAGTACGTCATTTTCATATGTAAGGACCTAATAAATTCAAAGAACTTCCTACGAAAATAACATTTAATTTTTCGACACATTTTATCAAGCGTTTTACCTCCGTTATGGAATCATACTAGAATAAAATAATAATAAACCCAAGTTTTCATATAAATATTTATCTTTGTCTCAATGTTTGTCTATTACGCCTACTCATAACACTTTATGAGATCAAAACGACCACGAAAAGCTGTAAAATTCAATATAATGCGGTACATCTTTCATATATTTTTTGCCGTAAAGACGCACGTGATTTTGATTTTATGCGAGTTTGCTAACTCATAATCATAAAATGTCTACTTACTGAGTCTTATGTTACGTTTTATCAATAAGCGAATTACTTGAGTAATATTAGATATAATATTAATGGGATAAAAGGAAATGCTACTAAAGGTTTCATCACATCTAGTATTACTTATAATATGAAGGAATTATTTCTTATTCGAATAAAACTATTGTATAGCGCTGGAAATTGATGGATGGATTTCATTTTCATCGACACAAGCAGTGTTAGCTTAGTGGCTTCAGCTGCGATTCTTATTCCTGAGGTCGTAGGTTCGATTACCGGCTTTGCACAAATGGACTTTCTGTCTATGTGCGCATTTGGCACTCTACTTGCACTAGTGAGGACCGACATGTTTCAGCAAAACCGTCGGCGGCATGTGTCAT